AGGGTTTGTGTGAATCGGGTTGGGGCCCATATGTGGACCCACGTGGTGTGATTTTGAAGCTCTGTGTGCATGTGTTTCCTCAGGAGATGTTTCCCTCTTACACAGCATAAGTCAGCTGCAAACTTTCTAGACACTTCTCATCACCACTGCACATTGATCATACATTACCTGATTCTTTCATCAACTCAGTCATTCCTCAAGTTTGGTTAATAATTATTTTCCTCCAGTGGAGATGGTGTTGAGAAAACAGGCCCAAGGTTTGACCTCCAGTATTGAAAAGCCAAACTGAGACCCTAGGGGTAGTCCCACTGTGACAGCTTTGAACTCCTGACCTGCATTTTATCACTCAGCCATGCGATCCTCGTTCATGGAGCCATGCCGTCCCTGCATCTACGTCCATGCCTGGAGGTACTAGCAGCTCCAGAAGTTCAGACCATGCCCATCATTGTAAGATGGGCTTAGTGGTCACAGAACCCAGGACAACCACAGGTGGCTTAACACCAACTTTGGCACAGTCATCATTGTGAAAGGCACCCCGGGACTTACACCTGCCTGATCAACTCACAGATTCGGAGAGTTGTGTGGCCTTGTGTAGACAATGTAGGCCATATCTGTTGGTCCCTCTGTCATTGCTTAAACAAGGTCAAGAAGAGATGATCATCAGGGAGATATTTCACTGTACTGGGGGACAGTGCCATAAGACCTACACTGATTAAACCTGGCAGCACACACTCAAGGGAAGGTGTCAAATGGGTTCACAGTGGGACTTGGGAGTTAGCCTAGTGACCGTGACACTGGCTGTAAGTCTCTGCACACCTGGGTCTGAGAAGCTCCCCCATGATTCCACTTCACAATCAACTGTCCCACCAAATGCATGACTTCTGTGAGTGTGAACAGCCACTAACTCTGTGGACATGCAAATATTTTTTTGGAAAATGAAGATTTGGGAAAATGAAGACTGGGAAAAAGACTGGGGATTGATAATAGCTATTTGGCAAGGTAGAACTGAATTCAGTCCTCTAACAGAGCTTGCTTTTAATCAAGAACAAAGTCTCATAGAAAACTTAGTAAGTACAATAGCTATAACCTGAATCCTGGGGAGGCAGTGATCTAGGAATAAACCCAGAAGACAGGGATGATTTAGCAGAAGCTCTGAATAGGCAGGAGAGTCACAGGCCTCTGTCATTGAAAACTACCATGCATTTTAGTGTTTCTTTTTTCCTCCTGGGTTAGAGTATCACTAGATAAAAGACATAAGCTCCATTTCATTTCTTCCCTGTTCCTCTCCTTGGCTCTCTTTCCTTCAGCAAAGAGGATGATTCAACAGCAACTCAGCCCATAGTTCATAACCTTCCTCAGGCATACACTGCACTCGATGTCCCCATCAAACAAAAACAAACAAAAAACACTGAGAGATTGGTGCGCAGCCTCACCTGAGTCCTGATGGCTATTCTTTGTTCTTCTAGCTTCCCAGCAGGTCGTGGTGGTGGAAGTGCACCGGGCCTGGGATGAGGAAGAGTCTTCGAGGACCCCAAAGGTAACCTCAACTGTCTTTATCTCAGAGAAGCCTGCTTCTTCACTTCTTAAATTTTTATTCAAAGGAATACAGTTATAGTAATTTGACAATGTACATTATCACTAATGTATACAGATCCTTGGCTGGAGAAATATTGAGAAAAATGTTTTCTAAAAACAGATGCGATTCAGAAGGGCATTAAAACAAGACAGCATCAGTTACTACTGTAGGTATTTTGTTCAGTAGAAATTTTCCTCCTTGAAAAATAATTTTATAATTCTTGGTCACATTGAAACTGAGAGCTCTTATGTGAAACAGATTTTCCGACAGGACACTCTCTGTTCTACTTTGGAGTCACTAGAATAAAGAGTTTTAGTTATCTGAGGGGAGAAACCACATGACAGAATACTTAGTGCAGGAGGTTGAAGATGCTGACACCTCACTCTGTTTCCTTCTCTCCAATAACAGGCATTCTGGGACGCCATAAAACACGGTAAATATTCAGGGATCAACACTCTGCTAAGGTACAATCCACCTGATAAAGCTGGGGTTCTCTGACTGGCTCTGGTTGGAGAGTGGCCCTGATGCTGGATCCCTACTTGGGGTGCGTGCTGGAGGTGCATGGAAGAGACTGATCTCCCAGGATAGAATAATGTCTTTATTCTATGGTACCTGGAAGCAACTACATCATTTAGATGCTGTGGGTTTGTGTGAATCGGGCTTGGCGGCCCATGTGTGGGCCCAGTGGTGTGATTCTGATGCTCTGTGTCTGTGTGTGTTTCCTCAGGAGATGTTTCCCTCTTACACAGCACAAGTCACCTGTGAACTTTCTAAACACTTCTTATCACCACTGCACACTGACTATACATTACTTGATTCTCTCCTCAGCTCAGCCATTCCTCATGTTTGGTTAATATTCATTTTCCCCAAGTGAAGAAGGTGCTGAGGACAATGGCCCAAGCTGTTGACAATTCTATGTTGAAAAGCCAAACTGAGAACCTAGGGGTGTTCCCAGTGTGACTGCTCTGGACCCCTGACCTTCACTTATCACTCAGTGTTGAAATCCTAGTCATGGGGCAAGGGTTCCCTGCATCTGTGCTTTTGCCTGGAGGTACTAGAGCTCCAGAGATCCAGACCGTGTACATCATTGCAAGATGGTCTCAGTGGTCAAGGAACCCAGGGCAAATATGAGCAGATTATCACCAACTTTGGCACAGTCATTATTGTCAAAGGCACCTAGGGACTGACATCCTCCTGGTCAGTTCACAGAACTGGGAGTTGTATGCCCTGGTTTAGACAGGACAGGCCAAATCTGTTCGTGCTAGTGTCATTGCTTAACCAAGGACAAAAGCAGATTACCATCAGGGAGATATTTCATTGTACTGGGTGACAACACCATAAGCCTTAGGTCGGTTCAACCCTGCAGCACACTCTCAAGGGAAGGTGTCAAATAGATCTCATGGTGGAACTTGACAGTCTGCTTGGTGACTTGACTCTAGTAAACCTCATGCATACCTGAGTCCAAGAAATTCAACGTTTACCCCGTGCATCCTCTCCATAGTGAACTGTCCCACTCAATGTATGGCTTCTCTGAATGTCAGCAGACACTCATTCAGGGACGCGCAAATATTGTTGGACAATTAAGACTGGCAAGAAACATTACCTGAGTGATTCTAGCTTAATAGCTATTTGGCAAGTTAGAGTTGAATTCAGTCCTCTAGCAGAGACTGCTTTTCATCAAGAACAAAATCTCTCAGAAAACTCAGTAAGTGCAATAGCTGTAACTGAATTCTGGGGAGGCAGTGATCTAGGAAGAAATCTTTCTGGATAGGTGTTGTTTTGCAGAAGATGTAAACACGCAGGAGGTTCATGAGTCTCTGTCATTGATAGGTGACATGCATTTTAGTGTTTCTTGTTTTCCAAAAATGCTGATATTCTCTTTCATTTCTTTCATGCTCCTCTCCTTTGTACTCCTTCATCTAGCAAAAAGGATGATTCATCAGCAGCTTATTACATATTTAGTTAGCTCCTCATGCATACTCTACACCCCTTGTCCATCTCAAGAAAGAGTAAAAGCTGAGTGATTGGTGAATAGCCTCACTAGTGTCCTAACAGCTACTCTGTCCCTCTAGCTCCCCAGGAATACGTTGTGGAGGAACTGTGCTTTCTATAATCAACTGTCCCACTCACCCGATGGCCCCTGTGCATATGGACAGCTACTGGATCAGTGGAAATTCACACACTTTATAGAAAATGGATAATGATAGATAAATTCTGTATTATTCATAATGGCTATTTTTAAGTGCTAGGAATTCAGTAATGTAAAATCTTGTGTATTTGCTTTTCTTTAAGACAATTAATTAGTGAATTAATAGCATAGTATACTTTTCCAGGATTGAATTCAGTCCTGTAACAGAGTTTACTTTAAATCAATTACAAAGACTTATAGAAATCATGATGAACAGAGTAGCAGCAACTGTGGATCTCAGAGGAAGAGTAATCTGGGAAAAATCAAGAGACAGTGGCAATTTACCAAAAGCTCAAAATGAGCAGGAGGATTCATGGTCTCTTTCATTGAACAGTACTTACATTTTAGAGTTTTCCATTGTTTAGATTGAATATTTCCTGTTGATTAGGTTCCTCTAGCTAGAACGCCAAAGATCTGCCTTCATTTCCTTCCACCTCTCCTTTACTTTCCTTCCTCCTCCAAAGAGGATGGATGAACACAAGTTCAGTCCATGCTTATTAACCTCCCACATCCATACACACCACCCTATGTCCACACAAAGAGAAAAATCCCTGAATGATTCCTGAGCAGCCTCACCACTGTTCTAACAGCTACTTTGTGTCCCTCTAGGTTTCACTGAGGACCTGCCAGTCAACCCAGCTTGTGACAAGACAGAAGAGACTCCATGTGCCTCCAAGGAAAGATTTTTTTCCTTTTTTCTGGTCTGAGATAGAAATATTGTTTCCTTTCTTTTTAAGTACAATTAAGTTATGCATCTTTGAAGGTGTTCCTTTCAGACAGAGGCGATTTCCTTGGTTGGGATAATGTGAAGTGATATACTTATTACCAAATCATGATGCCTCAGTCCACAGGATATTAAAATTGTTAGCATCCATTACACCCTGTAGAGTACAGAGTTCTCTCTCCTGCAGCAAGATTTCCTCTAAGAAAAGAATTCTGCAATTTCCAATCCAAATGAACTTGGAAGTTCCATCCTCCAGGCAAAGGTCTTGCCTTTCATCCTGAGTATGTGTGTTCTGATAGTGATGGGTTCCGTGGACTTCACCACTGTTCCTCATCAGGAACTGTCACCAAATGAACCAAAGACTGTGCATCTATGTGATCTTATCCTCATAGTGTCTTCTCTTCTGTACTTGCAGGTGGCTCTTTCAGAATGTGAAAGTCGTATGTATTCTAGAATCATTCATTTTAGGAGAAAAATTTGTAGATGAGAAAGTTGGGGCTTTCTCTCTGGTTTTAGTGTAGAGGCCAAACTGATTCAAAATTCATGGGGGCAATGAGTATAGGGGCCCTCATGATAGAAAGTAATTTATAAGTAGAGCAATGTGGCTGATTACTGTAGTCCCAGGAAGAAGCTGTGTTATGGTTAATAGTGTGGGTTTTTGTCCATGGGACTGGGTGTATATCTGTGTGTAATGAATAGTGTGATTCTTCATGTGTCTGTGAATGTTTTTGTTTTGTGTTTTCCTCAATATTTGTCACCCTAAATGTCACTGTTACTGGTGTCAACTTCCCCCCAAAATTTCCCATCACCATGAGCCATTAATGAGTATATATATGTGTGTGTGTGTGTGTGTGTATATATATATATATATATATATATATATATATATATATATATATATATATATAATTAAGCCAAGTATACACATTCACTGTATCCATTGATTTTATACCAAGTGAACATCCATTACCCTGAAAGACAAATCCCGTCCCTACCCAGGAAAATGTTCACCCTGGAGTCTTTTTAACTTTTCTTAATTTTTCTCTTGGCTCTGCTGGGTCTTCGTTGCTGCACAGGGTTTCCTCTGCTTGTGGAGAGTGAGGGCATCTCTCGCGTTGTGGTGTGTAAGCGTATCACTTTAGTAGCTTCTTTTGTTGCAGAGTGTGGCTTCTAGGGCTCTTGGGCTTCAGTAGTTTCAGAAGGTGGGCTCTGTACTTGTGGCTCCTGGACTCTAGAACACGGTTCAGTCCTTGTGGTGCACCAACAGGTTTAGGTTCTGCGAGGCATGTGGACTCTTTCCAGACCAGGGATTGAGCTCATATCTCCTGCATTGGCATGTGGATTCTTAACCATTGATGCACCAGTGAAGCCCTGTATGATTCTTAGAAAACAAGACCATGTTTCAGTATCTCCCTCCTGGGTCCATCACCCCTTCATTTAATCATAAATCCCATTTCTTAATAGGTCTTATAGCATTTTGTTTGGTCATGATTCATCACTCCGCCGTTTCCCTCATTCAAACTCTTTCCTGTTACAGCCTCAGAATGAATCTCACCCCCTCAATCAAGGCCCCCAGTACTGGGGAGGCTCCTTCCTTCTGCAGGGAGCCCCTGGTGGTACCCACATGCCACACCCAGGTCTAGAGGAATCTGAGAAAAGAGGAACCTAAAAGCATAGATAAAGTTCAGTCCAGCTTTGCCTCTTAAGCTTTGAAATGTCCAGTCAGGCCTGTTAATTCAATGCCCTGTGTTTTTCAGCTTGTCTCTAGAACTTTTCCATCCTGCAACAAAAATTTTATAACCATTGAACAGACACTCCCTCTGTCAACCTCCTCCCAGTTCTTGGAACCACAATTCTACTCTCTGCTTCTCTGAATTTTCCTTCGGATACATCAGGTAAATGGAATTGTGCAGTATTTGTCCTCCTTTGACCACCTTATTTCACTCTTACCAATATCCTCGAGCTTCATTCATGGTGCTGCAAATGACAAGATATCCTTCATTTTAAAATGCTGAAGCACCTTGCAATGTATGTATACACCACATTTTCTTTTTGATTTATCTGCCCGTGGACACTGGGCAGTTTTCTTGGATTTTGTGTACAATGCAGCAATGGATACATGATTGTAGATATCTCCTGGATATTCTCATTTTATCTTCTTTGGACATAAACTCAAAAGAGTGATTCCTGGATCTTATGATCGTTCTCTTAACATTATTTTCTTTTTATAATACACAGCCTGAAAGGTGATATCTCCTTTTGACTTGGTTTCTATTTCACTGATACTTAGTGATGTTGAGCACTATGCCTATGAATATTGGTCACTTCTCTGTCTTCTATGAAGAAATATCTATTGAAGCCTTTTACACATCTTTTATTTTTTAAAGTCAGTTATTTGCCTGTTGTTGTTTTGAAGTTGAGCTGTAGTAGTTGCTATATATTCTGAATATTGGCCCATTATGCAGATACAAAGTTTGCAGATACTTCTTCTCATTCCATCAGTTTACCTTTCTGCTGATTGTTGAGGAGACCATCCTTTCTTCACATGGTCATTTTAGAACCCTGGCAAAGATCATTTGGCCTCATATGTGTGAATTTATTCAAGATTCCATCCTTGTGATTTATTGGTCTCTCTGCCTGTTTTATTGCAGGTAGAAGACAGTTTTGACTGTTGTGGCATTCTTACCTGTTTTGAATTCAGGAAGCCCCATTGTCATTATTTGCTCTCAAGACTGTTTCTGCTCTTTGGGTTTCTCTTCAGTTGCATAAGTTTTAGTATTTGAGGATTTTTTATTTCCATTGTGATTTTTTATTTCCAAAATGTCATGAGACCTTGTCAGTGGTTTCAACATATATGTTCATCACTTTTAGGAGTATAGGAAGGTCAACAACACTAAATATTCCAGTTTATGAGTATGGTGTGTCATTCAAATTACTTGTCTCTTCTTTCTTTCAAAAGTATTCTATGGTGTTCAGTGCACAAATTTTTCACTTCCTGGGAGGCTTTTGTGGTGCCTTGCTTGGGTCCTCTAGAGACAGGGATGGGAATGATGGGCTCGTGAAGACAGTGAACATCCCTTCCCTCCCCTCTGAACCTACTCTCTGGTTACTTGTCGTACAGGAGCTCTGGGCCATGCCCTTCACCACTGCCTACAAGTGAGCCCCCTACTGGGAATTTTCTTTGAAGCTGAGTGTTCACCTTGCTATTGGGATGTTCACAAGCACACTCCCAATGCCTGGCCTAGGTTCAAGTGCCCCAGGTATACCTACATATGACTGATCTCATCAGGGCATCAAATTGTCTACAGCAGAGAAAAACCTGAAGAGGCAATTAGTTGCCTTTTCCTTTTCATTGGAGCTAGGAGAGCTGAACTTTCCAGTGTAGTAGCCACTAGTCAGATCTCCCTATCTATAATTAACATATTTCAAACAATAATTAACATATTTTTAAAAACCATAAAAAATACACATTTGTTGATCACAGTAGCCATATTTCAAGTGTGTCCCTAAGTGTTGCAATTTCAGCTTTGTAAGCTTGAATGTAAGAGTTATATTGGGCTTGTAGAAGTGTAAGGTTAAAATGTGTTTCTCTCAGCATCTCTCTCTCATATGAAATTTTGCAACTGGGATCAACATCTTGCTGAAGGGCTCTGACTCCACAAACAAAGGGGAGGTCTGTGAACCTGGAGGAAAGACCAGGGAGATGCTGTGTGAGCCAAGTGGAGGAGGATAAATGGGTGGGTCAACTTGTATAATAACTGTATTATTCCTCACGGTTGTCTTTCTGCAGACTGCTTCCTGGAAGCTGTTAGCAGCACTGATGCAGAAGAGAATACAGGTAGGGAACAACTCTCAAGTGGGATTAACAGGGAGAGGGTTCCAGGACCACTTGGGTTACACTTAACTCTTTGGAGATGAAGGAAGATGAATATAAACTGAGGAAGTAGAAGGAAGAAATATGTGTAGAATGTTGATTTGTTCTTTTCATATTTTAATGCTTTTATAGACCCATGTGATCCTGTGCTGTACTGTGCTGTGCTTAAAGACATCTCTTTTTGCTTGTCCATGTAAAAATGTCCTTTACGACAAGACTACTCTTTCCTTGTCCTTTCACTGCTAAATGTGAAAGCTTGGCTTCTGGTTAGTACCTGCAGGATTTTATGTACGAGGAACTTTGGCTTCATGTTTAAATTCTCCTATGATGGCCACATCCTTGTGGGCACAAAATTCTCACAGCCGCTTGACACTGGAGACCAAGTTCTGGCAGTGAGTGTCAGGTAGTGGGTGAGACGTGAACCCTCTCCCTCTGCATTTTCAGGACTTGTGGTTTCCCCTCATGTTTGTCCTCACTGTTTGTTCCTTGTATGAAGGGTGCTCTCAGGGTTTAACGAGTCAGAGCACACGTGCTGTGGCATCCCTGCCTGGGCTAGGCTCCTGAAGCTCGTCTCAGCACCACCCCTTCCCAAGGATGCTGTGCTGAAGGTGCTTCCACGTGAGACCAGTCCATGTCCAGCTGCCCCTGGAGACCAGCCTGGCCACAGACTCTTGAGCCTGTGAAGGGGCCGCTGGCTTTCTTTACACACTTGCTCTCACAGCCCTGCTGACCTGGTCTCCTGGGACTGACCAGACCCAGGTCAGAGACTCAGAGCAGCAGGACCTGGGGTGACTGCTCCCCTTCGAACCCACTACTCCCTCCAGACCAAAGCTCCAGATGGTTTTGATCACCATCTTTGCACACTCCTCAGCTCATTTATTTACCTTTTATTTTTTAGTTTGTTTTGCATTTGAGCCATGGAATTTTCTGATATATTATGAGTATGAGCTCCTAATGTGATATATGCTTTGCAATTTTTCTGTAGGTTAACTTTCCGTCCTACTGATTGTTGAAGAGACTACCCTTTCCCTATTTTGTTGTCTTAGAACCTTCATGAATTTAATTTCACCTTGTATCCATGAGTTTACTTGTGTTTTTTTTGTTTTTTTTTTTTACATTCTGGTATTTAGGGCTATGTATCTGTTTCTATATCAGTATCATACAGCTTTGATTCCAATAACTTTGTAATGTGTTTTAAAATCAAGAGGTGAGAAACTTTGATCTTTGTTCTCAAGATCATTTTGTCTATTTGGAGTTCTTTGTGGTTCCGTACATAATTTTGGAATTGCTTTTTCTATTTCTATGAGAATGACATTAATATTTTGATTGGTGTTGCAATGAATCTTTACTTAGGTTCAGGTAGTGTAGAAATGGCAACAGAACTAAGTCACCAGTCTATGATCATGGAATGTCATGTCAATTCCTTGTGCCTTGTTCCACCTTCTCAGTGTGGTGTGTAGTGTTCAGTGAGCTGGTCATGTCTCTCTGAAGGCCCTGTGTCCCTCCCTCCCTGATCTCAGAGTCAGTGGTGGAGGGATGGGTTTGTGAGGAGATGCAGTGTCTCTCCCTCCCTTCTCACCTCTTCTCTGATGATGTTCAGCACAGGTTCCCTGGGCCCTGTGTCCATACCTGTCCCCTCAAGAGGAACACCTGCTGGGAATTCCTCTAAGATCTGGGTGTTGACATTGATGTTTCAGTGTCCCAAAGGCTCATGAATACCTGGGATGTGTGCTTGAGCCCAGGAAATACCTAGAAATGAATCATCAAATCAAGCCTGTCAAATGCTCTGCAGAAACTGTTGGGGTACAATTCACAGGCCTGCAAGTCCTGTGCTTATCTAGACTTGAAACCAAAGAAAGATCCCAGAATTGTCAGAGATATCAAAGGTTTAAGAGATGGGATGATTTCCATGTCTGAAGTAAAAGGATCCTGGAGAGA